GATCCCAGTCGTTGGTTTTGTGACTCCACAATTGCAGAGTAAGAGTTCTTGCGTAATATCCACTTAGGAAAATTGTTTTAAAAACATTAATGAAGTCGCAATTGAAAAAAGGTGTATTGTCTCAAAATTATGAAATTAATATCTTGTTTTGTGGGAGTGGAATAGAAAGCTGTTTTCCTATTTTCTTTAGAGATAATCTTTTCAGGGAAGAAAACTGGTGAATCTCTTGTAACATTTTTGTTCAGCATTAATTTATTTTATATTTTTGAACTAAAAAGGACATTTTAGTTTCATTAGTCTTTATATTTTTCAACTGTACCATCAGGCATTTAAAAACAATTTTATATATGCTGTATATTTGTCCTTAACTTGATCTTTGTTGGCCCATTAGCTCCACTTTATACCAAGCTAACTTTTAGCTGCATAAAAGAGATGGTTTTATGAGTAAAAAAAATCATGTCTCTATGGCAGACTGTTAATTTATATCATAGACTTTATATATATATATATATATATATATATATATCAAACTATATGTGCTGCTATATACATATCCCTCTCTGAGCAATATAAAATTATACCTACACACATGAAACGTTTCATAGGTCGAACCCACACCTCTGCTGCTCGGCCCAGTAATGTATTTTATTTAAAAATGTGGGATCCTTTAAAGGTACATCATCAGACTTTTCAACAGTATGAGTTATGCCAAGAAGCATTGTCACACAAGAGAAATAATGAACCAGTCTCAAAGTTCCTTACCTTTGAGCTAAATATGCATTTCATATAATGTTTCTTTGTTTACTATAGGTGTTTGACTGCCATTATCTGTCTGATGAAGTAAAGTATGTCCATAATGGCTGTCCCTTGTTAAAGGAAGATACCATCAAGCTTCGCCTGTATAGGTAACACATTCAGCATAAAGGAATTAACATAAAATGTCTCCATAATGTTTAGGGGAACATAAACTTCTCCAAATAGATTCAGAAATGTTTGGAAGGTTTACATGGAAATGTGTTTTTTGAATATTCTGCTGTTTTTTTTTAAAATGCTTTTTTGTTCCTGACCAGCTTCACAGAGACAAACACATACATGGAGTCGTTTACCCTCCTTGTGGACATCATAGCGCCTGAATGCAACATCATTAACATGGGTCCCAAATTCCTTCAGGTCTCTGAATTGTATGGTATCTCCAATGCTATTGACGGCAATGTGGTCTCCTTCCATTATGAAAGAAAACCTAGTCTGGAATGCAATATCCACCTCAGACCCCAGGAAGCCCACCTTCCTGCCCACGGCAAACTCGTCACTGGAGTCCCAGAGAGAGCCACCAAGAGAGGCGACGAGCCAGAAAGTTTCATCTACCTACGTCAGCAACTAGGTGAACTTTGAAAGCCTTTCCACAACTTTAAGAAAAGCCCTGATAAAGAAACAATTTTTCTCAGGAATGCATAGTGTTTAGAAATATGTGGTTAAATGTGCGGTTCCAAACTTTTGCTTTCTTAGTTTAGTGCTTCACAGCCACAAAACCAATGACTAACTCAGTTTCTGATTGTTTACATGACTGAATACTAAAATGTTAACATCTGAAAAAGCTAAAAATGAAATACCAAAAAGAAAAAAGAACTTCAACTAAATTAAAGATCTCTGTGCTTGCGTATAGAGGATGTTCAGTAGTCAATAGAGGGGGCTACTAATTGTAATATGTGCTTATGTGTCATAGAAAGTTACTACATGTTCTTTAAATTAATTTAATATGTTTAAAAGTTTTTGCTATTATTCACTATAGCATGAAAGAGGGAATACCGAAGCAAACATGTACAGCAAACAGAGGAGATACTAAAGATGCAGAACTCCAGAGCTCTTGCTTTGGTATACAGAAAGTAAACAAAGTTAGTAGCAGCAGTAGCTTTGTATTTCAATTACAGATTCTGCAGGGTGGTAAGCATACTTAGTAGCAGTAGTAGCTCATTCAGTTGCTTTGTCTAGATGACAGTCAAAAGTGTATCATGTCCAGATAGAGAACATAAAGTTGTTGACAGAAGTAGCCCAGCCAATCCTCCCCTATAGGACGATTTCACAGCTAAACAGAGTCCCAGGTCAGATGTAGCTTATATGAATCCCTTCATATAAAAACAAAGAGAGAACTTAAAGTTGCTGCCAGCTAATTCATAAATGGAGAGGCGAAACACAGAGTAAGAAAAAGTGATATTTTTATCCTCTTCCAGCCCTGGCCTATGCCAGTACAGGGATAGCTCAGGATAACCTAAGTCAGTCTAACTATAAGCTTTATGAAAAAGGAAAGTTTTAAGCCTAGTCTTAGAAAGTAGACTGTGTTTGACTTAAAATGGGAGCTAAAAATGGGTTCCACAGGAGAGGAGCCTGAGAACATGAGACACAGCTGGGATCAGTCAAGGGCAAGACACAGGACTAATTAAACCAAAACACAGCACAGGAACCTAAATCCTCACACATAAAATGTTCTATAAAGTAGAACTACAATGCTTTGGATTTTCCATAATATGTCCTCTTTAGTTTTATTATAGATCCTGTTCATTTTTGGCATTTGACATGAACTTGGTGTAGGTAAATACAAAAACAGTTTTTAAGCTTTTCAGATAAGTATGTGTAAAAAAAAAAGTAGAAACATTTTCATTCTACTGCACAATTATGTACTTCTTTCTGTTAGTCACACACACAAAACTTTTTTCCTCTGTGAAAATTTAGAAAAGTTTATAAAAACAAGTACCAATATTTACAGGAAGCTTATGGTCCTTTAAATGAATGGATAAATTTTTTTACTCCCCGGGGGAAATTCACATTTCAGTATAACCTGTCCAAAAATCAAACACATCTGACATAACTATGACAAGTCCCCTGGGGATGCCGCCCTTTCGATAAATGAAACTAACATTAGGACAAATGAGGGGGAAAAAAAAAATCATATCTCACGCTAGTGGACACAGTGTAGGGTTGAATAAAACCTCTGGACATAAATAAGCATATAGACAACTTAAGGATGGGGGGTCAGCAAGGGCGGTGAGTTTAGAGTGGTTGTTTTATGGGTAACTTTTTTGTTATGTCTCTATATTCAGATAATAAAGCCAGAGCAATGTGTGCATCTGAAGATTGCCTTAAGGGCCTAAAGCTAGTGACAGTCAATAAAGTTTCATGTGATGACTTCCTCCTGATGGGCATAAAGTACCAACACATAGATCCACCCTCTCCAGATGTCGATTACATTGCAATCAGGCTGGACCTCAAGGACACCAGGAGTGGCAGCATATATCAGGTAATCTGGGAGCCCAGCCTGACAGTGTTGGAAAGGATTTATAGCATCTCTAGTGTTTTTCATAAACATTTTAAATACATGAGAATCACTGACATTTATTTTCTTTGTTCAAAAGTTGTAAGAGGTCTAAACATGATGTTTCTGTAGTCTGAGCAGGGCTGGATTCCAGTCAGGATAGCTGGAGGAATGCCCAACCAGCCTCCCAAACCATCTTTCATGTCCATGTTTATCTTGGAGGTCGACCAGTTTATTCTCACTCCCCTTTCCATTGCAACACTGGATGCTGAAGACGAGGAAACTCCAAAACAACTTCTGGTTTTTAACATCACTAAACACCCTGAGGAAGGCTTTATCACCCATCTATCTGATCACACTCGTCCAGTCTCCTCCTTTACATGGCTTGATCTAAATGACATGCTTATAGCATATCAACCCCCAAATTCTTCACATACCCAACGAAGGAATTATGAGGTAGAACTGATTCTTATCATAATTCTTTGCATTACAAACTCCTGTTTTGTCATCAGAAACTTGCTTCTTTCCTTCCAGGTGGAAATTGAAGTTTATGATTTCTTCTTTGTGAATAGCTCACCAGTAACTATCCACACATCTGTAAGGAATGCAGAAACAAATGCGCCAAGAGTGTCTTGGAATATGGGTATGTTAGCATGTTCTGATTACTAGAATTCTTTTGAATCTTTTAGTTTGACATTTGGTAGCATTGCATCACTGTAAAAATGTTGCTGTTTCAAATCTGCCCTAGGGTTTTTTTGGGTGGGATTGGATGTTTTTCCTTATGCAAGAGTGGAGTGTGAGTCCATAGTTAAAAGACATATCTAAGTCAATTGGTAACTCTAAAACTCTACATGGTAGTGAGTGTTAGCAAAAGGTGTCAATTGTTTTACTCTGGGATGTTTTGGCAGCCTGTCCAGAAGGTACCTCATCTCGTGTGCATTAACAGGTGGAATAGACTCTCAGGTGTGACAGGATGCAAAAGAAAGCAGGTACAGGAAACAAAATGACTGATGGTATGATGTAAACTGTAGATGAGGACCTACTGAATACTGCAAGACAGTTTACTTGCCACTGAATCTCGATCAGGACATAAATAGAATATGGATTTCCTTCCTCAATCTTTATTGAGTAGACAGAGCAGCAGTACAGCCATGTAGAAGATGAAGATGGGGATGTGTGTACAACAGAAATAAGAACTAAGTCCATATCAATTTATAGAATAAATACTTATATAACACAAAGTGCAACAGTGACACCTTCTGGCTACAAGCTTCACATGCTTACTAACTACTACACTGATAATGGAGCTACGTTAAATAACTTAAAGGTCGTAATGAACAGGACTATCAAGAGCAAGAGTGGTTACTAATAACACCTGAAACATCAGCAAAACAACCGAAACACTTGACAGCAACCAGACAGCACGTGCTCACGGGTAGAGTTGCCACCTTTCAGAATTAAAAATAAGGGACGCCCACCATGGGGTGGGATGGTCACTGTAGTGATAGATAATATTTTATGTTTTTAAAAAGTAATCCATAGAGCAAATTTTCATGCATAGAGCACTCCAAATTTGTGCTCAAATCAAAGCATATATTCAACAAGTTTAATTAAGCAAATGTAAAATGTATTTAGTAAGCTGCTCAAGCACTGAGTAACTGATCATAACACCTGATTTAATAATCAAAATGTGTCCTCAGACAGGGCTCGAAAAGCATAAGTTATGTGAACATTCTAGTATTGTAAAGCGCATTACCAAAATATTTATACAAATAAGGAGTTAGGTTTGGAGGCTGGTTCTAGATCAAATTTACCACTAGGGCAGGGTAGTCAGTGCTTTTTCATGGGGACACTTAAGAAAATGAAACAAAAAACAGAGCAGTATTTCATCATTTGATATATCAAGTGAGCCAAAGATCCACTTGTGTCTACAGAGATCCAGGTTGCAGATCCCTGGTAGATGGAAAGTGTGATCTTATCTCCATACAGCAGCTAAAAGTGCAGCACTATCATTTTTAATTTAATGTTAAAGTAAAATTGTGAAGGTTAAAAAAATCTACCACTGAGTATTAACAAAAGACATTTATTTAGCATAATTTCTTCTGTACCCTGTTGGCCCAATCTATAACCGCCCTGGTCAGCAGGTCCGACATTAATAATAAAGTGATAATAATAAAGTAAATGACCACTGAACACTGAATGAATAGAAGATGTCAACATTTCTTAATAAAACAAACAGAAAGCTCTAACAAACCTGTTTAAAGTAAGAGATATTTATGTATTTACTGCTAATCTCTCAGTATGATTTGTTCTCTAAATGACCATTTATGTTATTTTGGCTGATATGACTTTACATTAAATAAGCAAATAATCAACTCATAACAGTTGACTAAAAGCACAATAAGAAACTTAATAATAAAAGGTTCTACCACCTCAATCAGGAGATGATTGAGGTGCTGATTTCTGGTTCTTTAGGTTCTGACGGGTCTGCAGTTCCTCTCCTGATCCATTCTGTCTATGATGATACTGGACAGAAATTACAAAGAACAAATCTGGTTCTTAATCAAATCCTAATGAGTCAAATTGAAAGTGTCATGGAGTCACTGAACAGCCTCATGACATTAACACTGACATGAAAAATAATATTGAAGAAATGAATATATCAAATATAATTAAAAACATAAATAAGTGATAAGTTATTTAGTGTTATGGTCTGTAAGATATATTTATTCTCAGTACTAGATGTGGTCTCAACAAACCCATGGCACTTCAACAATATTATTTCACCTTTTATCTGGAAATAGTGTCCGTTTATTCTTGCCATACAGTCTCTGTATTAATTATTGCTCCAAAGGTCTTGCCATACAAGTTTATTCCTCTGTATTTACTTTAGTTTCTTAGTTTATTCTTGCATTTTCTTCTTCATTCATTTCCATTTAGTTTCCTTTGATTATTATCCTCTCTTGGTTTATTGCTATGTCCACTTTAGTTTATTTCCTGTTGCTACATTTATTTTGTCATTTATTGACCATCAGTAATCTTCACTCATCACCTGCTGCTACGCCTAATCATCATGTGTTTCACATCATGTGTTGATTTTTCACTGTTCAGCGTCGGATTCTCTGTTTTTATGCCATAATTCACATCTACTTCGTCGCTCCATTTTATGTCCCGCTTCTCCTGTTTCAGAGTTTTGCGCAATGTGCGTGTCTTTTTTTATTTTTTAAGCCCCTAAGGTGCAGGGCGGTCGGGAAGCGTATCGATGGGGAAAAGGCAGACTGACATAAACCTTTTAAAACAATGGAAACAATGTCGGTATTCTGATTATTGAAATTTAAAAGTGCTGTGTTGTTCTATCACCCCAGTTTCATACCGGGCCACTTACAGCACCGGCGTTAACGCTATAAAATGAACGCTCTCTATCGTGGTATCACCCATGGAGGGATTTCTTTATTTAAATGGGTTCATTTTTCTGAGGGACACACAGTGAGGGTATCGTGATTTTAGTAATTACATGTTTATAAGATCGATTTTCTGTTGTCCTTCCATGGAGGCGTTAGGAATAGTGAGGAAGGTGCCAACAAATTAAAATTCCTGCTTTAGTGTTACAGTATGCAACTTGAAAATTCCAAGTTTGACAATCATATTCTCTGGAGCAGGTCTTACTCTGCTGGAGGGTCAGTCTCGTCCTATAATGTGGGACCAATTGCAAATCGTGGATAATGACAACCTGAATATTGTTCGTGTCGTCATTGTCGATGGTCTCCAGCATGGACACCTAACTGTAAGAGGTACTAACAAAGACACAATTACATTCGGCAGTATAAAATATATACAGTGCTCACAAAATTAAAGGGAACACTGAAGTAATACTGTTGAAATATATTCACCATTGTTATCTGTTTATTTGATGTAAATTCCAGGAGGAAAGGGCTTCATGTTTACTATCAATGACATAAGAGCAGGTGTTGTCTGTTATCACCATGACGACAGTGACTCCACAAAGGACTTCATCATTTTCCGAATCACCGATGGCCACCATCAGACCCGACATAAGTTCCCCATTAAGATTCTTCCCAAAGATGACAGCCCTCCTTTCCTCATAACCAACATGCTGGTCGAGGTCTCAGAGGGCCAGACGACCCTGCTCAGAGGTTCCACTCTCAAGGCTTCAGACATGGACTCCAGTGATGACAATATCCTCTTTAACATTACTCGTCTCCCACAGGCAGGAGAGGTCATGAAAATCCCAGGACCAGGGTTGTCAGGTCAGAAAAACAGACAATTTTCTTTTCTGTTCTCATGACGTCCAATCTTATTAATGTCACATTTGTTTTGGTTTTTATTCAGGCTACCCTGTCAGCCACTTCCTCCAGAAGGATCTTTCACAGTCCATTATGTACTACAGACACCTTGGGAACGAGGTGACTGATGACTCATTCGAGGTTGTGCTGTCTGATTTCCACGATCCTCCTAACTTTTCAGAACCTCAAGTGAGTAACAGTAAGGCATCTTTGACACACTGGTACTGTGGTTATCTAGTGTCTAGATAAGCGGTCAATACATTTAATATTACTGTGCAAGTTCTCAGTCTGTCAGGTTCATAGAAACATGAGTTTCATAGACTTTCCACATTGATGGACAAATACAAAATATTCTATTTTATCCATCCTTTGCCTAGATCTACTTGTCCTTGTAAGGTCATTGGGGAAGTGATGGGGTACACCATGGACATATTACCAGTCCATTACAAGACAGCCATGCAGCCATACATTTAGAACTAAGGGCAAAATTTTAAAGTATAGCACATGTTATCAATAGGAATGGATTGCTAATTTGTAAATGACCATGATTAAGTAAGGCCAAATAAGCTGGACTGTACTTTGGCTCAATCAGTGGTCTAGCGAATTGTGAAATGTAACTTTCTTCAGAATATTTCTGTTTTTAAACAATGTTACTGTATTAATTTATATTTTGTAGCTGACAATGTGATCTCTGCCTTTAGGTGATAGTGGTGCACATAGAATCAGTTCCAGACCAACCACTGAAGGAGGTTCCTGGTTCCACTCGATATCTTGTGATCAAAGAAACACAAGTGGCCCATATAACACGGCAACAGCTTCACTTTGTAGACCAAGAATCACCAGACAGTGAGCTGACATACACAGTAACAACTCCACCCTTCTACCCTGATCATTACAGGTTAATATATGTTCACCTTCACAAATATATCAACAGAAAGCATCCTGTGTGAAATATTCAGACGGGATTGTTCTCTTAATTAACAGTAGTCCAGATGCAGGGAGGTTATTCCTGGTCGACAGCGTACCCAAATTTACTAAAGACTCCAACACACCAGTTCTCAGACTCTTCACACAAGTAAATCATTATCTTCTTAGCAATTTCATCAGTGCATGTGCCATCTGCTTTTTTCTCTTATAATCGTATACTCTTTCTAGCATGCAGTGAACTTCATGAAAGTGGCTTACATGCCTCCCATCATGGACATTGGCCCTTATCCACGGCATATCCAGTTTATTCTATCTTTGACAAACCATCTGGGCAAAACAGTAACTGGGCTCTGTTTTAATATTACTGTAGTGCCAGTGGACAATCAGCCACCACAGGTGAAATCAACAGCTATCTCATTCCTGACTCAGCCCTATGTGGAAAAGTGGACTTAAGTAAATGTGAATAACTTCTGTTTCAGGTTGTTACCAAACCTTTGACTGTGGATGAGGGAGGGGAACACTTCTTGGGCCCAGAACACTTGCAGCTCTCAGACATTGACTCTGTACCAGAAGCCTTGCATCTGGAGCTTCAAAGGGAACCAAAAAGGGGGCTTCTTTACCTTGGTGGTCATCCACTTACACTAGGACAGAACTTTACTCTGCAAGACCTGATGAGGCGTAAAGTTAGGTCAGACATCCTGCTTGATTCCAACATTCAATTTATTTGAAATTGTGTAGGAGGTACTCATCAAGATAGCCGGGTCATTGCTCTTCCACAGAGTTTTGCTCTATTCTCATCTCCTTCAGTACTGGGATTTCTCCCATTGAGCTAAATTTCTCCAGTTGCATTTTAACTGGGCCAACCAGCACATAGAAATGTTGTGAATGATGACATTCATTAGGCATGAAAAGACATTTATACCGGCTACTACAACAGAAAACCTCCGGCATAATAATGGCAGGGTAAATATATGATCTTCAGTTTATCTTAACCCTTGTGTTTACAAATGAGGTCCAACCGACCCCACACCCGTATCACTTGTATCATTTGCCTTGGTCCTCATACGTTTGCCTCAGTCCTCGCACGCACAAGGGTTAAAACTGCACATATCCTGACAGTGGACACTGAAATTCTGGAAACTCTGGACAGCCTTGGACTGTTATGCCAGCCAGACCCAGTGACCAATGAAACAGTGAATGCCACCACCAACCACCGCCGTACCTGGAGGAGACGGAGGCGCTGTGAAAGGAAGCACAAGCGTGGCAGTCGGGAGGGACTAACAGCGAAGCTAAAGTGTAACCCTTGGAAAACGCTGCTCCTATCTATCTTGCTTGCTAACGTTCTGTCTCTGGAGAACAAAATGGACTACTTAAAGCTGGATATAACATCAAATC